TGTGAGTGTGTGTGTGTGTTTGTGTGTGTGAGTGTGTGTTTGTGTGAGTGTGTGTGTGTGTTTGTGTGTGTGGTATTTGTGTGTGTGTGGTTTATTTATTCTTAATGTTAAAATTAGTTTGTTTCCATGCAAATAACTTGCATCATTTCCCTACAACCCGTTCACAACTCTCACCTCCTGTTCTTCTAACACTGACACACAGAAACATCAGTCTGTTAACTTCCTGTTAACAGACTGGACTGTTAAAATCCTCAGTCCATTTTAAAAAGACCCAATCAGACGTCATTCAGTGATGTTTTTAGCACCAAAGCTGAAAACAACCAACAACATAGAGATTAAAATGTTTTAGGAGCTATCGACGGCATCCGCAGCTGTTACCATGAGCAGTGACACCAAACAGATAAACAGTCACAATTTACACTAAGATCAGAACACACAGTTACACGTTCCAGGAAAATGATATAATCATTAATTGCAGCGTTATAACGAGAGATTATCATCACAGAAACTGTGAAACCTTAAAAAATATAACAGATAAAAGAAGTGGAGAGTAAAAGGACAATGTCCCTTTATAGAGTGGAGTACAAATTATATTTATATATTTATATATTTTAGCGTTTCCCTGCAACTGGTCCTGATCAAGAAATAGTTCCAGCACATAAAGCATCATTATATTTTCACACTTTAATCAGTGAGGTTTACAGGTGCTGGATGGTAGATTTCATTAGCAAACAGAACCAGGCTGTTCTGTTTGTTCTGTTTCTAGTGTTTTATGCTAAGCTAAGCTAACAAACTGCTGACTGTAGCTTCATATAAATAATAACTAACTTTAAACTGTAGCTATTATGCAATGATATTATAGAAAGATATTTGCAGCCTCAGTCTGTTAGCGTTCGGGGCAGATTTGATTAACCAATGACTCTTGTAAAGTTTCCTATCTGGGCCACGAATCTTCACAACTACACTCCTTCATTTCCTCTGAACATTTAAACTAGCTTCTCTGAAACATTATCGTTGCATCAGTTCCTTTAGTACGAAAGCAGAAGTCGTTCTGCTGCTGATCAGCATCTCCTCCATCTTTATATATCTTATCTTTATGAGCCAAACAGAAAGTGAGTCAGCGCCAAGAAAACAATAAAAAAATATTCAGTTTCTGAATTAGCTTTCTAAGAAATTTCAACGTCATTCCAGAAAATGAAACCTTAATATTTATATATTAAGCCCACACTGGGCTTTTAAATCAGTGTTTTATCCAGAACTTTAGATACTGTCATGATTTGTTTCTAATAGCTAATTTCAACCATTTATCAAATTACTCTTCATCAGCTATTTAAGCATTACTATTAAAAAATGATGCATAAATAGGTAAATTGATAATTAACTAGCCACCATTTATTCACTTCTCTGCTTGCTAACATTATTATTAAAGTCCAGGTCCTGTACAAAACTAAGTTGGCTAACGTTGGCTGCATTACTGTTAACTAGCTGCTAGTGTTAGCAACTGAACGGGGCTCAGCAGCCTCCCAGTGAACACAACCTCAGAGACAGACAGAGGAGAGTTTGACGACAGCGGTACCGATTGACGGGTGAATGTCAGTTTGTTTTACAGGAAGACACAATGATTGGATTTTAATATGAAAACACAAATAAATTGAGTTTTTGTAACATATTTTAGCATAAATTGTTAAATATGGGAACAATATAACTGAAGATGTGATCTTAAAGGGTTAAAATGAATTTTTTTTATTTCACCTGGACACTGGATAAGTTAGTTTAACATCTATTCAGTCTTCCCAAGTAACTTTCGGCCACTGTAGGACATCAAAGAGGAGTCTGTTAATTTATATACTGCAGCTGTTTTATTACAGAGGCGTAATTTACGGACACACTGAACTGGGAGGGATTTCTTTCTGATGAAATCTGTTTAAACTGCAGCTGCTTCATGTAAATTAATGCGCTCAGCATAAACACAGGAAGTCAGAGTTTATGGAGATCTGTTCCCCGGTGACAAATCTGTAAAGGTGAGGAGCCTGAATGGATAACTTTAAGGTTTAAAGGATTTTCAGGTTGTATTGAGGCTGTCGGGGTCGAACCTCATCGACTCGGGAAGCTTCATTTGGTGTCAGCAGAAGTTGGAGACCCGGTTGGGGTCAAGACGGCGGCTAAAAATACACGAATCAGGACGGAAAACAAACTGGTGTCGTCCTCCTTCTGTCAGCGCTGTCCTGTTTTTATAAGCGTGGATGAAGGAGGACCCAGAGCGAGTGTTGGACCGGGATGAATCGACGGGTCTGAGGGAAGCTTGTGTGTGAACAGCAGGACAAACAGGAGTTCAAGACACTTTGTGTTTGCACACGTGTCCCAGTGTCAACACGGCGCCGTGCGTTCAGTTCATGAACATAAAAGGCTCCTGTGGGGAGATTCAGCGCAGACGGAAGCTGCTCCACCTTTTTAACTAAAGATTCGTTTTAAAGGTGCCATATGTAGAATTCTGGAGCATTTTATTTCTATTAATCACTTTTTATTGCCAATTTATAACGTAACTTAAAAAATCTCTCCGACTTCCTCTGCTGCCTGTGGACTGATTTATGTGTTTCCATGTAGGGATGACGCTTCCCTACACTATACTTACAATAATTGACGATTACTAGCCAAGAACGATAATATACATTATTATTATTCAAACTATGTTGTTTGTGTGTTTCCAGGGATGGATTACCTCAACTCCACCCAGGTCGCCAACAACCAATCAGACTTCAGCAGCGTCTTCACCCTCAACGTCCTCCCAACGCTTTATTTGGTGATATGTGTCGTGGGGATGCCCCTGAACGGCATTGCCGCCTGGATCTTCTTCAGAGTGCCCAGTGACTCAGGCCTGGTGGTCTACCTGAAGAACATGGTGATAGCCGACCTCTTCATGCTCGCCACCTTCCCCTTCCGTGTGGCGGCTCAGATGGGCCTTGGTGGCTGGCGCCTGGATGTGGTCAACTGCCGCTATACTGCTGTGGTCTTCTATTCCTCCATGTACGTGGGGATTGTCTTCATGGGCCTCATCAGCCTTGAACGCTACGTCAAGATCGTCCGCCACACCTCGCCGTCCTCCTCCTGCATTTCCCGGTTGGGCGGGGTGTCCCTACTGCACCTCCTGCAGAGTGTCAGCTTCGCACGGGTGCTGGCGCTCCTCACCTGGAGCCTCCTTGTCCTCTGCGTCCTGCCCAATGTCCTGCTGACCAGCCAGCCGGCCCACGAGGGGAACGCGCGGGACTGCATGAAGCTGAAGACGCCTCTCGGCATGCAGTGGCACCAGGTGTCCATCCTCTTCAACGTCGGCGTGTTCTGGGTGACCCTGCTGGTCCTCGCCTTCTGCTACTCCTCCATTGCCTGCCGGGTCTACCAGTCTTACCGCCGAGTGCGGCGCAACAACAGCGACGTCCGCCGGAAGTCGAACCGCAGCATCTTCAGCATCCTGGCGGTGTTCTTCGTCTGCTTCGTGCCGTACCATGTCTGCCGCGTGCCGTACACTCTGAGCCAGATGCGGCGGTCGGACTTCAGCTGGGACACCCGCTTCTGGCTGTTCCAGCTGAAGGAGGGGACGCTCTTCCTGTCGGCGCTCAACGTCTGCCTCGACCCCATCATCTACTTCCTGATGTGCCGCACCTTCAGAGAGTCACTGCTGAGGAAACTGTCCGGAGAGGGGAGGCGGTCCCTGAGCACTGCCCAGAGTCTGAGCAACATTTAACAGGGACAGGGAACAGGAGAGGACAAACTTCACCAAACCTCAAAGGTCCAGTGTGTAACAGTGAGGAGGATCTATGGCCACCGTAGTTTCTCCTTCACAGAGAAACTGTATTCAGTTGGTTGCAGACTATAAATTCACCACTAGATGCCACCAAATCCTCCACACTGGTCCTTTCACCACAATGTAGTGTCCATATTTCATCCACAGTGTTGGGCAGTAACTTATTACTAGTAATAATATTAAAGTAACAATATTACTTTCTACAGTAACTAGTAGTGTAACTAGCTAATAAAGATAATTAATTACAATATCACATTCAGCAGCTGTAAATATTCCATTACTTCAATTTTAACAAACAAAACTGTATTTTAATCATCATAAATCAGAATTTTGGGCAGAAAAGACACAATTACCAATTTTGTGGG